TTCTTCAGCTCCTTTAGGTGTAAGTTTAGGTTGTGTATTTGAGACCCTTCCTGTTCTTGAGAAAGACTTGTTTTGCTATCTACTTCCCTCTTAGGACTGCCTTTGCTGCATCCCAAAGGTTTTGAACATTTGTGTTTTCATTTTAAAGGATTGATTTAAAAAAAAGAATTTTAAAAGCCTAATATTCTCAATGAAGTTGTAAAGCATATGTACATTTTATCAGTTTCCTGGCTTAACTGTCACTTTTTGAGTCTCAGGAGGATAAGTACCATTAAACAAAATAAATCATTGTATGGAAATAACTTTAAGGCCAAAATAAAGTTAAAACCTGAGAATTGACTTATTATATTTGAGTTTTAGTTTCCTCAAAACCTTCTTAATTGCCAAATAAGTTGTCTAATTCTCATCTAAATTGACCTCTTCAGTTCCTTTTAGAAGTTTCCTGTTTTAAATTGTGTAATGCTTTCTCTTAGCTTTATTTCTACTCCTGGACAACTCTCAATGCCCTTTGTATAACCTTTTCTTCTGCTGGATCCTTAAATATTGTTAAATATCTATGGTTTTCTTGTCTGTCCTACATTTCTTTCATTTTTTGTTTTCTCACTAGTTGTTTTATATAGGTTCTCTGACAGTTTTAGTGAGGCCCAGAGGTTTTCAGACTTTGAGTTGCTTTATACTTGGTGCTGTCTACCCATCTCAGGTTTCATTTTTTTTTTTTAACTCAGGAATTGATAGATTTTAACTAATACCTACCTCTGAGAGAAGGTTTCAACTTTCCCCCATATACAAATTTTCTGCTTGAGGTATTTTGAGTCTAATGGCCTCCCTCTTACAGAGTCTGGTATCAGGTACTCCCATGATTTTACCTTTTACTTAATAATTTGTTTTATGAATTTGTTGGACTGTCTTCTAACTAATATAATCCATGCTGGTACTGTGTACTAGTAACTCGAGCTTTATAGGTATTGATTATTTTGATCTCACAAGAACACTATAAGGTAGTACTATTTTTTTTTTTAAAAGATTTTTATTTATTTATTTGAGAGAGAGAGAACACATGAGAGGGGATAGGGTCAGAGGACGAAGCAGACTCCCTGCTGAGCAGGGAGCCCGATGCGGGACTCAATCCCGGGACTCTAGGATCATGACCTGAGCCGAAGGCAGTCGCTTAACCAACTGAGCCACCCAGGCGCCCTATAAGGTAGTACTATTATTATCATCTTTTTTTTATGGTTGAGGAATTGAAGTTCAGAGAGGTTGAATACTTTATCCAGGGCTACTCACATCAAGTAATGGAGCCAGATTTTGAACTCAAGTAGTCTAACTTCAGAAACATGCTTCTAAATATCTATCTATCTATCTTCATAGTCTTCTGAAAGCCTTACTTGTAAGTATGTTAGGTACTTACAATTTAGTGCCTTTAAACCTGAAGTCACTGTTTTCTCTCCTTCTCCACTGTCCTCCCCCAAATATGCTCTTCTTTTTTACATCTTAGTTTTTTTTTTTTTTTCTGGTTATTTACGCTTGAAAACTGAGTCATTCTAGGTTACCGTCTCCTTCTTTCCTCATTTGGCCCCTGTATCTTACTGATTTGTCCTTTTAATTAACTATGAATAAGTGCCTTCTACTCATTTTCATTGTCCCTTCTTAGTTGAAATTTGTTATGATCTCTCATTTGGAATAGTTTTCATTCTGTGCTAGCTGGAACTGCACTTACCTTACTACTTTGTAACTGCTTATGTGTCTGTCTTCTCTATTAGACTCTCTTGTAAATGTGGACCCTGAATTATGATTTTGTACTCTCAGTTCCTAGCTTAATACGTGACATACAATTGGTATACAATACCTAATTTGTGAATACATGAATTAACTTGTCATTAGACCTTAGTTTTTTAAATTGTTTTTTATTTTAATTCCAATACAATTTATATACAGTGTTATATTAGTTTCAGGTGTACAATATAGTGTTTGAACAATTCTATGCATTACTCAGTGCTCATCATGATAATTATACTCTTAATTCCCTTCACCTATTTTCACCCATCCTCTCCCCACTCTCATCTCGTAACCATCAGTTTGTTTTCTATAGTTAAGAGTCTGTTCCTTGGTTTGTCTCTCTCTTTTTTTTTCCTTGCTCATTTGTTTTGTTTCTTAAATTCCACATATGAGTATAATCATATGGTATTTGTCTTTCTCTGGTTCATTTAGTGTGGCATTACACTCTCTAGATCCATCCATGTTATTGCCAATGGCAACGTTTTATTCTTTTTTTTATGGCTAAATAATATTCCATTATATATAGATATGGGTAGATTTAGATCGATCTATTTATGTATCTATGTATTGATGTATCTATGTATCCATCGATCTATCTATAGGCTGCTTCCATAATTTGGCTATTGTAAATAATGCTGCAATAAACATAGTTGTGTATTTATCTTTTTGAATTAGTGTTTTTGTATTCTTTAGATAAATACACAGTAGTGGAATTACTGGATCATATGGTAGTTCTGTTTTTAATTTTTTTGAGGAACCTCCATACTGTTTTCCACAGTGGCTGTACCAGTTTGCATTCCCACCAACAGTGCATGTGGGTTCCTTTTTCTCCACATCCTCACCAACACTTGTTTCTTGTATTGTTGATTATAGCCATTCTTACATGTGTGAGGTGTTTTGTCATTGCAGTTTGACTTGCATTTCTCATAATGAGTGATGTTAGGCATCTTTTCATGTATCTGTTGCCTATATCTATGTCTTCTTTGGAGAAATGTCTTCATGTTTTCTCCCCATTTTTAATTGGATTGTTTGATTTTTTGGTGTTGAGTTGTATCAGTTCTTTATATATTTGGGGTTCTAACCCTTCATCATTAGCACATATCTTCTCCCATTTCAGTATGTTGTCTTTTAGTTCTGTTGATTATTTCCTTTGTTGTGTAGAAGTTTTCTATGTTGATGTAGACCCAATTGTTTTTTTTTTTGCTTTTGTTTCCCTTGCTTTAGGAGACATATCTAGAAGGATGTTGTTATAGTCAATTTCAGAGAAATTATTGCTTGTGCTCTATTCTAGAATTTTTATGGTTTCAGATCTCAAATTTAGGCCCTTAATCTATTTCGAGTTTATTTTTGTATACAGTGTAAGAAAATGGTACATTTTCATTCTTTTGCATGTAGCTGTCCAGTTTTTCCAACACCATTTGTCGAAAAGAATGTGTTTTTCCCACTGCATATTTTTGGCTTCTTTATCTAAGAGTGACCATATAATTGTAGATTTATTTCTGGGTTTTGTATTCTGTCCCATTGATTTATGTGTCTGTTTTTGTGCCAGTACCATACTGTTTTTTTTTTTTAATTTTAATTTTAATTTTTTTTTGAGAGAGAGATCGAGCACAAGTGAGAGAGAGAGCAAAAGCAGAGGGGCAGAGGGAGAAGGAGAAGCGGGCTTCCTGCTGAGCAGGGAGCCCGATGTGGTGCTGGATCCCAGGACCCTGGAATCATGACTCGAGCTGAAGGCAGACACTTAACCAATTGAGCCACCCAGGCGCCCCAGTACCATACTGTTTTTTGATTACTACAGCTTTGTAATACAAGTTAAATTCTGTAATTGTGATTCCTTCAGGTTTTTTCTTTTTCAAGATTGCTTTGGCTATTCAGGGTCTTTTGTGGTTCCATACAAATTCTAGGATTGTTTGTTCTAGTTCTGTGAAAAATGTTGTTGGTATTGATAGGGATTGCATTTAATGTCTAGATTGCTTTGGGTAATTTAGACATTTAAACAGTATTTGTTCTTCCAATCCATGAGCATGGAATGTCTTTCCATTTCTTTGTGTCATCTTGAATTTCTTTGAAATGGTGCATTTGTAAATGGGATTATTTTCTTAATTTCTCTCTCTGCTGCTTCATTATTAGTGTATAGAAATGCAACAAATTTCTGTACATTGATTTTGTATACTGTGACTTTATGGTAGTTTTTTGGTGGAATATTTCAGGTTTTCTATGTATGGTATCATGTCACCTGTAAATATTGAAAGTTTTACTTCTTCCTTACCAATTTGGGTGCCTTTTATTTCTTTGTGTTGTCTGATTGCTGTGGTTGGGACTTCCATTACTGTGTTGAATAAGAGTGGTGAGAGCGGACATCCTTGTCTTATTCCTGACCTTAGCGGATAAGCTCTCAGTTTTTCCCCTTTGAGTATGATGTTTATTGTGGGTTTTTCATGTATGGCCTTTATGTATTGAGGTATGTTCCCTCTAAACCTGCTTTGTTAAGGGTTTTTATCATGAATGGATGTTGTAGTTTGTCAGATGTTTTTTCTGCATCCATCGAAATGATCATATGGTTTTTATCCTTTCTGTTATTGATGTGATCTGTCATGTTGATTGATTTGTGAATAGTATCAAAATATGTATACGTTATCTTCAAAATATGTTGTATTGTAAAATGATATCTTCAAAACTATGATAATCTTCTTGTGGTTTATAACAGTCCAAATCTTCAATTATATTTTCAAGTATGAAATACTGATTATCTTGGTAACATTTGAACAGCAAGAACAGTTTATATTCTTCCCATAATGCAGAAATGTCTTTTAACTTATATAAATCTCTGACATCTCAGAAGGATTGTGTTAAAATGGAGGAGGCAGGTGTCATAAATCTTTATTCTTTGGTAGAGAATATAATAGCTGAGTGTTAATTGCTTCCAATATTTAAGTATTTATATAAAGTAATAGGGAATTTTTGGATTCACTTTTAATACATGGCAGTAGTCCTACATTCACTAATAATTTCTGGAGGTGGTTATATTCCCTAATAATTTCCTTATATCAAATAAATGAAGTTATTGTTCCAAGGAGAATGCATGAAAGATGGCATTCATTTTCTACATGACTAGAATTTTCTCATGCAACATGCTGCTGGCTGTGGGACTCTGAGCCTTCTTTTTGTTTTTCAAAGCACGGTTCTGCTTAACTGTTAACTCTGCGCTTGTGCTTTATTTGCAGCATCTGGCGAGGCCCCAATGTGAACTGCACAGACAGTTCGGGTTACACTGCTTTACACCATGCAGCCTTAAATGGACATAAGTAAGTGCTATTTATTTGGACTAGAAACCTGGTGTATTTAGTTACATGTGATGAAATTCATTATGTTGATAATACCTATCTCATGTTGCCAGGAGTTTTCCTGGGCTTAGGTGAATTTGAAGAGGCACTAGGTGGCAACACTGACAATTTAAACTTGGTAAGAATGTTGCTGTGGATGATTATGTGCAGAGTATAAACCAAGAGAATTGTTCTAAAATAGTCAAATATCATGCAAGAAGAATAGAAGAAGTGACAGGACATGTTAGTTATGTGTAGTTTTCAGGGGGGGAATGGGATAAAACCAATTAGTAATGCCACCCTACCTTTTTGGGTGTCTTTATCTAACATGGGGAGTATTCACCAAGAGTAAAATCTTAATAGGTTCTTACTATGAATGTGAACCACTTCAAAATCCTTCAAATTTAGGAAATATGCTTTTTCTATGTCATTCAAGATAGTCTTTCTAAAGGTTTTAAATTTCTTTAACCTTTGGAATTATGTTTCAATAATGTGATAGCCTACAGTATGGACAGTGAAAGACTGTGTAACCATCACCATCATTTCATTTCTAGTGTTTTATCTAGGTTACCTAATGGTTTACTGACAAATTATGAGAGTCTGAATGATTCAGATGTTCTGTTCTCCCCCATCAGAAAGAAAGGGACTCTTCATGTCTCCCTTTCCTTTCTGTTTTTCCTTTGCTCTAATGATCCAAATTATTAGTCTTCCCAGACTTGGATCATTTCATTTTACTTTTACTTCAGTTTTTTAAAGATTTATTTATTTTAGAAAAAGAGAGTGTGTGTGTGCATGCACACGCCGGAGGGGCAGAGGGTCAGAATCTTCAAGCAGACTTCCCACTGAGCGTGGAGCCTGACTTGGGGCTTGATCCCATGACCCATGAAATCATGATCTGAGCTTGACCAAGAGTTGGATGCTTAAACTGACTGAGCCACCCAGGAGCCCTCATTTTACTAGAGTTTTTTTAGATATAGTAATTACTGCCTTAAAAATGCTAGTTACAAATAAAAAAAAAGAGCAAGCAAAAAAAAAAAAAGCTAGTTACCTTTTGCTTTCCCACATAACTGTTCCTTTATTTTGTGAATTGAGACACAAGATCAAGTCACACATGATTACATTTTATGGCCTTAAAGTTCTCACAAAAAAACCCCCTTTTTGTCATTTATCACTGTGACATTTTTTATTTTTAAACTTATTGCATAAATCTAATATTATCATTGTTTGGATATGGAGATATATCTGTATCTATCTACCCATATATAATTATACATATACATATAGTCATAAACATAATGTTTCATCATTTGGGTTCTTAGTATTAGAATCCCCAAACAACATTTTTCATCCACTCCCTATTCTATATTATATTTCTTATACATCTAACTTAGAACCTTTTATTGTGCTGGGTCTTTTTCAAAATATATTGCTGTCCTTCTGTAGAGTGTAAAATGTATGCAGGTACCTATAATCTGAATGTTTTAAAGGAATTACTATTTATTCTTCTTTGTACCAGGGTCATCAGGAATGAAGGCAAATTAAATCAGCCCAATAAATACAATGCTGATGGCTTCTTTGGAAATCTTAATTGTGTATTTAAGGGAATTCCGGTTAGGAAAATAATTGGAAAGACAGACTATCAGATCTAATGGACAGAAGATCTTGGGCCTGAGCACTGGAGCTATCCTACTTTTCTTGTTCTATCTTAGCTTGTCATGATAAGCACGTCTCAAAATAATGTTGTCCCAAAATGGATTAGCATTCATATCCATCTGTGGTTTTCAGTGGTTAGTAAATGTTTTTGATTTGTATGTGATGGCCTATCAAGTTCTAACCATTGAGATATGTTTCCCTTTGGTCCACTGCATAATTTTTCATTTCTATTAGCAATGTACAAAGTAAAGATAATTTAAGCGAATTGATTAGCAATCATTAAGATCATAAAGAGGGGGGATTTGACTAGATATCTTAGATATCTTTTAAGATCTCTTTAATTGCAGATATTCTCTGAGAATTATATATCTCTGCTTCTATATGAAGATCCCATCTTTTTAACACTTTCTAGAAAGATTGTACTCAGTGTCATTCTATAGGCATTGGAAAAAAGCGGGAGAATTCTAATCCCATCTTCCCATCTCTGCTAGTTATATATCTTGAGCCATTTAATTAACCCATCTAGGGCTCAGTTCAGTATAATGAATACATAAGCTGGACATTTTCCATTGCTTCTTTCAGTTATAACATTTTGTGATACACTGTTTTGGTATTTGTGGCTCAGTTATGTACTATGATGCTACAATTCTGAAGTTTGGATTTTCATCTAGAGTGTAATATCTCTTTACTTTAAATTACCCGTGGATTTTTAAAATTAGAGATGGTTTATTGAATCCTGCCCCCTCCCTTCCCTCATTTTATAGATAGAGAAATAAGCCCATTCTGGATAAATGACATACTGGTCACTTAGATATTAAGGTGGGGCTGTGTTTAGACTTTAAGTGTTTTAGTTCTAAGTGCGTGCTTTTACCATTACTCTACATTATCTTCCTTTTGTGGCTCTGTGCACATCAGTTTTCTAAACTCTTGCTGGCTTTTCTCTGTTCTGTTATCTATTTCTGGGCTGCCTCCCATTATCATCAACTAGTGTGTTCACATAGAATGCTAATTTTAATATTGGCTTAAGAAAAGATATTTGAAGGAGAAAAAAAGTCATAGTATATATCTCAGAGCCAGTTTTTTTTCTTTTCTTTGCCTCTGCTTTTCTCACTTAGCAAGGTAATGAACAATTGATTATTTTGTGTTCTTCCCAAGCAAGCCTTAGCAGTCAGCACAGAAACACATCATTTCCATGTTTGTTGCTGTTGTTGTTGTAGCCTCAGCTGTAGATTGTTTCCGAAAACATGTTTTCTAGGCTAAAGTTCATGGAATCATAGAGCTAGCAGTAATAATACAGGGTTCTGTAGTTTCGTATTTTGTTTTTAACACAGGCTTTTCTCCTACCCTCAACATACAGTCTAAGCCTTCATACTGCAAATTAAGCCTGTTTTATATCCTCTTATATTGTATGTTTTCCTGGGGGCTTTTGTTTATCAACTCAAGTTAATCCACAAGTGGAGCATCATTTTGTACCTGAAATACATTATTTCATAATGAACAATTCATCTCCACTTAGCCAAATCCGGACACAATAGAAAATGTACTTCTATTAGTGATTTCCTGGGTCATTTGTAATTGCAGATTAGAAAATTATTAACTTCGAATGATAGAAAAAAACATGGTCAATAGAACAAAATCCACTAGCAATGATTATAAGTTATTTCAATAGATAGGCAAGAGACCTATTTCTGTTTTTCTTTTTTATAATGTGAAAGATCCATTTTCTCTCTCATGTATTTCTGCTACAAATCTGGCTCTCTTAATTCTCTTCTGAATAGACATTAGCCAGCCAGCTGGCCTGCCTTTCTGCCTTTCTTCTTCCCTCTCTCCCTCCTTCCCTCACTTTTTTCCTCCCTATCTCTTTCCCTTTTCCCTTCCTTCCTCTGTCCCTTCTTCCTTCTCTTCCTCTCTCCTCTCCTTTCCTCTTTTCTTTTCCTAATCTTTTCTTTTTAATAATAATCTTACTGTTCACTATAAGGTTTTACTAAACATGTGTATTCATATTTCATTTCTCCTTCTCTTAGCAAATTATTCCTTTTCTTTTTTTCTTAAGTTTCATCTCATTAAGCTATATTGGGCACACTGTGATTCTTGGATGCTGTTTTGAGAACTGTCAGCACTAAATTATTATCATTTATAACTTTGAAATATGTATATTCTTTGTTATGTGTCAGGTTTAAGTATTTACTGATCTTGCTTTTCATTCTCTAAATATTTAATGCTTGAATCCTAGACTCCATTATCTGAAATCCAAACTGTATCTCAAATTATATCGAGAATCCAGATAGTAATTTATGTGTACTTTTGATTTACTCTTAAGTTTTCTAATGAAAGAAGAGAACTTCTTCTAAAAATTTATATAGTCTGGTCCATAAAGTTTCTCTTTGGATAACCTAGAAATAACTTTGATCTGATTGCTTCTTTCCTGGATAAGGATATTAAATAGTTAAAATTTGCTCTTATTCACTCTCTCTGGAAATCTTTGAGAGTGAATTCAGTATAAAAAGGAGCTCCAGTTAGAAAATTAGGAGTGGATTGTCCTAAGGTCTTTTGACCATGTCAAACACATTTGCAACTCTATTTCTGTTAAGGAGAAGTAAAATCTTCAAGAAAGTCTGAAATCAAAAGGGCCTTAATTAATGTGAGAATTTCATTAGTTTGTTAAATACTCTATCCATATGAAGATGATTTGCATTTATTTCAAAGTTCTTTGGACTGGTAACGAGGGAGGATGGAACAAAATAAATGTCTTTCGTTATGATTTAATTACAGGGAAATTTGCTTTTGAGGTAAAGAAATTTGAATTTTGAACCGTCCCAATTAACTTAATTTTGCTCAGAACATATCCTGAAACTTCTTAAAAGATATATGAATTAGAAGTATATTTATATCTATCAGAAAATGAAACAAATTATAGTAGCAAAAATTAATACTTTTAGAATTCCTATTTTTACCTGAACTTATATATTAGCCTCAAGCTGCAAAATGTTGCAATGATTTTTTTTTTTAAAGATTTTATTTATTTATTTGAGAGAGAGAAGGAGAGACAGTGAGAGCACAAGTGGGGAGGAGAGGGAGAAGCGGGCTCCCTACAGAGCAAGGAGCTCGATGTGGGGCTCGATCTCAGGACCCTAGGATCATGACCTGAGCCAAAGGCAGAAGCTTAACTGACTGAGCCACCCAGGTGCCCCAAAATGTTGCAGTGATTTAAATTGCATTATTATTAAATTTAATTTGATATTTTGTTTTACTCCTGGGGAATGGAATTGTTTTTTCTGTGATCTCATCGACCACATTTACTTTAGGATTTTAGAGCAGTTCTTATTTATGAAATGCTACATATAAGAAAGAATGCCACTTTATGATCAAGATATAGATGTTACTTCACTGTTTGCTATATTATGAACATTGTTCATCAGTATAACTTAATATTTCATGCCTAGTAACCAAGCGTAGTCAACATGTTCATTTGAAAGATATAAGGAACAACTTAAATAAAAATGAAAATCAATACGGTGCCTGCATGCCTCAGTTGGTTAAGCGTCTGCCTTCAGCTCAGGTCATGATCCCAGGGTCCTGGGATTGGGTCTCGCATCAGGCTCGCTGCTCAGCGGAGAGTCTGCTTCTCCCTCTACCCCTAGCCCCTGCTCATGATCTCTCTTTCATTCTTTCTCTCTCTCAAATAAATAAAATCTTTGAAAAAAAAGAAAATAATACTGATTTGGGTAGGATCCTAGTGTTAAATACCATTCTAGTTTAGATATTAGAGATAGTACCTGAAATTTAATTTATTCTTAATGAATATGGAGGAAAAGGGCCTGTTTAATACATTATTACTTGTGATATACATGGATACCTCATAAGATGTATAAATGACAGTTGGTTGATTAATATTTTATTTATGATTCAGTAAGACTGACAGGCACATTTTTATCAGAAATAGAACTTCATATTTCATAAATATGTTTTCACATTAGAAATCTGAGCCATGCCTGTTCATTAGCTGATGTCTGTGAATAAAATGAACATGTTTGGGGCCCCTGAGTGACTCAGTTGGTTAAGCATCTGACCCTTGATTTTGGCTCAGGTCATGATCTCAGGGGCATGGGGCAGAGCCCCAGGCAGGGCTCCCTGCCCAGGGGGGAGTCTGCTTCTCTCCTCCTCCCTCTCCCTCTGCCTCTTCTCTCTCTCTCAAATAAATAAGTCTTAAAAAAAATAAATTTAGTAAAATGAATTAAAAGAAAACACATAAATATAGGGCGCCTTGGTGGCTCAGTCGGTTAAGCATCTGCCTTCAGCTCGGGTCATGATCTCAGGGTCCTGGGATCGAGCCCCGATTGAGTCGGGCTCCCTGCTTAGTGGGGAGTCTGCTTCTCCCTCTCCCCACTTGCTCTCTCTGTGTGTCTCTCTCACTACCTCTTTCAAATAAATAAATAAAATCTTTAAAAAAGGTAAATAGTATTTAGTTAGTATTGTATTGTTCACTGGAGGCAATTTCATAGGCATACAGATTGTTCTTTTCAGATTTACATATTAGGTAGTGGTAATATGACACAATACAAATGTCAGTAAGTTAGTTTTTTCATTATTCCATCAATCTTCCTGATAAAGAATGGATGTATATCACATGCATTATTAGAAAATGTCAATAAGAATTGAGCCAAAGAACAAATTAAACTGAATGGATTTCATGAGAGTAAAAGAAAATAGGATTGATAAACCCATTAAACTTTCCTCTTACCCTTTGAAAGTAAATGCCTTTAGAAGTTTCAGATTATTTTTTTAATTGGTTAGGCATTGAGGAATAAAGTTAAAACTCTTCACAGAAGTATCTTTGTCTGATACATGAATTTGGAGAAGTGTGTTTTGTGACTAGTATAAATTCTACTTTTTAGATCCAGATAATTAACTGTGTCTTCTTTTGGTATCGCTTTACCTTTTATTTAAATGCTGAAGTGCGGGGCGCCTGGGTGGCTCAGTTATTAAACATCTGCCTTCGGCTTAAGTCATGATCCCAGGGTCCTGGGGTTGAGCCCCGCATTGGGCTCCCTGCTCCTCGCTCCCTGCTTGGTGGGAGGCCTGCTTCTCCCTCTCCCACTCCCCCTGCTTGTGTTCCCTCTCTTGCTGTCTGTCTCTCTGTTAAATAAATAAAATCTTAAAAAAAAATAAAAAAAATGCTGAAATGTTTCATTAAAAAAAAGAATCACTGGGATTGCTAAACATTGCTGCAGCTTACCTTGAGAAGTGTTTGTTTGCATACGATTTTACAGTCATACCTGTTTTTTATTTGATTCACACCAACCCTTTGGAGGCTGGCAGGAAGATGTAGCCTCTGAATTCTATTTTAACAATATCTGAAAGTCTGACAGAGGCTATTTGATTTGCCCAAGGTGACCAAATTAGTAAGTAGTAGAAAGTTGGAACTCTAAAGCAGGTATTCTGATTTTTAACTGCTTTTTTTTTTAATTTAAAAATAATTTATTTCAATAAGTACATATTTCTTGATTCTCAATAGGAATTTCGACCAAGAATTTATATTAGGTGTTACCAAATATTTTCAGTCTTTATCAAGAATGCTGGGTTTTTTCTACCTTTTTTTTTTAAATTTTTTTTTATTCTTACGTTAATCCCCATACATTACATCATTAGTTTTAGATGTAGTGTTCCATGATTCATTGTTTGTGCATAACACCCAGTGCTCCATGCAGAATGTGCCCTCCTCAATACCCACCACCAGGCTAACCCATCCTCCCACCCCTTCCCCTCTAGAATCCTCAGTTTGTTTTTCAGAGTCCATCGTCTCTCATGGTTCGTCTACCCCTCTGATTTCCCCCGCTTCATTCTTCCCCTCCTGCTACCTTCTTCTTTTTTTTTTTTTTAATTCATTGGTATTGAATCCTTCTTATCACATTGTAGTTATTTATCTCAGAATAGAAGACGCTATATAGTAACTTTTGCATGGCAGAGAGGTGAGGAGAAATATGTGAATTTGACAGCCTTCAAGTGTCCTTCTGATTTTCATATTTGTTTTTGCAAAGATGATTTGCTGGAAGCATTTTTATTTTTAAAGGATTTTGTTTTCACTTGGGACAAGAACTAATATTTTTGTACAGCGCTTTACTATTTATTGAGTGGCTTCTCTTCTGTGATCTCATTTAAAGCTCTTACCAGTCTTGACCAGTGGGTGTTATTATTATTACAGTATCCCCTACAGAAAAGAAAAAGACAAGACTAAGTAATTTCTCTAGGGGTCACATCATTAAGTAGTTTGTGTAGGTAGGACTCAGATCCAAATCTTCTAAGTTCAGGTTTTATAAAATACTACTGGTTCTTATAAAGAATATTAAAGTGAGATTTTATTCTTATTTTCTCTAAAATTGTATCATTAGAAAACTTATTACTCCTTGGAACATTCTAAATATTTCTACAACATATTCTTGGTTCTTTCATCATGATTTCATACATTTATCTATTAAGTCCAATGTTTCGTATGTGGGGGAGAAAGAATAATTTTCTCTTTCCCTTCTGGGTTCTTGGCTGAGGAACCCCCACTCCCCCCCATAATAAAAAGGTAGATTAACAAGAGAAAAGAAGTTTAGTAATATGTATATCTCTTGTATATACATGGGAGATACCCAGAAAAACTTAGTTAACTCTCTTTAATGGTCCCTGCCACCACCTTAAAAACCATTTCCTGCTAAACATAAAATAGATGTTTGTTGAGGGGAACTAGTTATGGGAGGTTATTAGGAAAAGCACAATAAACAAGTTGTGGGGTTGTTACTCAGATTTAAGTTTCTGCTTCCTCCCAGGATAAGAGTTTCTAAGAGATTGAGAGTCCATTATCATTTTCTGGTACAAAGAGGGAGACTCCCTTACAAATGGAGTTTTCCTTATAGATTTAAATGTCTCTTACAAAAGGGTAACTTCTATTCCGTTTTCAGAGGTTTAACAACATCTACTCTTTCTTAAAAGTAATTAGCTGAAAATAATACTTATGCCAAAGAGGTATATTTTGGGGTGGTATATTCTGCTCCCCTTTACAAGTTCAGACCACACTCTGGGCATTCATTATATTTTACCATTTACTGTAATGTTTGTATCATGTCTATTTTGTGTGTTTGTGGGGAGGTAGCTATAACTTCTTTTCAGACTTCCTCCAATTTTTCTTGTTACTTTACATTTAAAGTCTGGCTTCATGAAATATTTAAATTTAGCTCTTTGTGTTACATTTGTTCTTACTACCAGTGATTTGTTATATATGAGAAACTTTAGAATTTATTGTAACTTGTTACACACACATATGTATAATGTGTGGGATTTCATTTAGTGAGTTAATAGAATTTGCTTCATAAATGCTTTAAGTAAAAATAGAGTTTTTGTTTAGAATTACTCTTTTTGTTTGGTTGATACAAAATTCAGTTTAATGTTACCAAAAATTGGTAAGTCTTCTTTAGGTTGAGTATTGCAGTTCAGAATTTTTACTTTGAAAACTTGGTTGGGATTGAGTACAAAATGGTTATAGGTACGGTATATTGAGTATGAATTGATATTGGATCAGTGGTGGAACTTGTCTCATGAATGAATCTCCTTCTTGAATTTTTTTCTTAAGCTTGGAACAGAGAGGTGAAGGAGTGCAGATGTATGAGTAGCACATATTCAAAATATGTTGTGTGCCATGGCTGAGAAGTTATTAACCCCCCCTTTTCTACTGTGCTGCTTTCTCTTTTATATGCATCTTCAATTCCTTATTCCAAGTCTCTATAGGATGATGTATATAAATAACCTAAATGTCTCTTAGTAGTATGATGTGTGTGTGTGTGTGTGTGAGAATAAGGAATTTGCTTAACCTCTGCTTTTCCTTCACACTAAATCTCAGGTATGGGCTATTTGAGAAAAACCCCTTTTTAAAAAAAATGGGAAGAGGCATTTTTAAAAAATGTTTTATTTATTTCATTCAGTTATGAAATCAGAAACATTTTGCCCAAATGAATTCCATTGAGTGCTTTCATTGGTTGGTCAGTGCTCTGCGTGTGTATGTATGGTGGTGGTGGTTTTCCAGGTAAGTGAAATAGCCAAATGTTGAATTTTGTATCTCTTACTCTAAATTTCTAGCCAGCATCTAGTATATGTTCATAATTATCTGTTCATTGAATCTGTGTGTTTAGCATATTTTCTGTTCTGTTCTTTTTTTTTTTCCTCTCAGGGACATAGTTCTCAAACTACTTCAGTATGAGGCATCAACAAATGTAGCCGACAACAAAGGTTATTTTCCCATTCACCTGGCTGCCTGGAAAGGAGATGTAGAAATTGTGAAGATTCTTATTCATCATGGACCATCACATTCCAGAGTCAATGAACAGGTGCACTTGTCAAATATTTGCTCATGCTCTGGTTTTTCTAGAGGTTTGCAAAAGCGATGCTGCATTGAAAAATTGATTATTTCTGTCATTACCCTGCCAAAGACTTTCACTGTTAAATTCCCTAAAGGAGAAATTGAAAAACTCTTTGGCACTTGTATTAGGTACATAGGTCCTAAGTTGGGCTTTTGTAAAGATATTTGTTAACAAGAGAATACTACATAAAGAAAGTAACTAATATTTTTGCCTAACTATATAAGCGTCCATTTTGCAGTTTTTGAATATTTAAAGATAGGACAGAATTCACATTTATAATATGAATTAGAGCTTTTCTTAATAAAATTTTAAATGCTAAAACGATGATGGATTCATTTGCAGAATACTCTCCATTTACTTCCACATTTCCATAGCAAATACAGTTTTGTGAATCAAAATGCGAAATACAGTATATACCATAGATAGTCACATATTAAGTTAAAAATTTCCTGTATGTATGACCAGAGTATGTTGAATAAAACACAGCAGCAATATACTGACAGATAAAGTAAAAATATTTTCAAGTGTATAATATCCATATTACACATAACTGACATATTAAAAAAGGAATGCCATTCTCAGTATTCTAAATAAATAAGACCACAGATTTCTGAAAGTAAAATACAGGCTGCTAGTACAGTATGGTAATAAACATCTTGAGCTCTGCATGCCCCCTGCTGTTCCCATTTTGTAAAACTATATTTGAAAACCAGCATGTAGCCCAACAATTGAATTACAACCATGGCATTAAGCTGCAGGTTGGCAGTTGTCCAATATCAATGTAAGTGGTTACTCTAGGGCAAGCACATCTAATAAAGTGCAATTAGCATACTGTTCAAATGAATACAGACTTTGCAGGCCTTTGACTGAAATTCAGACTAAAGAATAAAAAGTAACACTGCCACTAGCTATAAACACCAAAGGGAAGAAAAATACATTTTTTCCCCAGAAAAATGCAGTTATAGAAATAAAGTTCCTCTGAGTAGGAAAAATGTTGTATTAATTGGAAGTGCCTTATTAATAATTATCACAAAATATCTATGTTTATAGGTTACCAAATGAAGTGTATTTTTATGCAAATACATTCATAAACTCAATCTTTAAAAAATGACAGATGCTTATCTTTATCAGCATATCATGCTAAAGGGAAATTTATGGGAATGCTGTTCTGTTTTTCAGAAAATCAAAAGTTAAAAGATCATTTGTGGGATGAGCCATCTGGTGGTTATTCTTAAAACTGTCTGAATGCCCCAAAGTGAACCTGAAATAGTAAGATGGAAAAACAATCCAAGGTTAAACAAGAGGATGTTAGTTTTTACAAGCAAAATATTTTTTAAATGACGTGAAAATAAGAAAAAACACTTAGAATTCATTTGTATTTGAAAGTTGCTTTGTCTTGTGGATTCTACTGGAAATAAATTAAAAATTTCTTGAGATTTTTAATACCATGCTGTCAGTATTTGTTATGTATATGGTACTCCTTTAGTCCTGATGTATTTCTGTCATTTAGTGTCATTTCTCCTGTTTCTGATGTGGGAATTTTATTTTTGTAAAAGTAACTTTTCATTTTAGCTTTATTTCTTATTTCCCCCCTCTGAATGGGGTAGAAATGTACTAGTTACTTATAAACCTTTATGTATTTAAGCAACAGAGGGGAGAAATGAAAATAATAAAGATATATTGAGACATGGTGCTTGACATAGCCAAATACCATGCTAAGCACTTTTACCTATAATATGTTATTTAATTAATTCTCACAACCCTTGAAGTGATAGTATCGCTCCCATTTTATAGATGAGAAATTAGGCTCAGTAAAGCTAAATAAGTCATGCAAGGCCACACATTACTGAGTGACTAAAACTCAGACTTTGAACTCTAATTCCAGAGCCCTCCACAATAGCATATTGGTATTGTCATCATAAATCCTGTCACTTATGGATTGTTTACTATATGCCAGGCAGTGTGCAAAGTACTTCATCTATTATCTTACATGCATCCTGATGAGATAGGGATTAATTATTGTTCTTATTTTATATATGGGAAGCTACCTTAGAGAGATTAAATAACCTGCCCATGATATCACAGCTACTAAGAAATGCACTACGTATTTGAATTCAGGTTTTTCTGATGCAAAACTCAAACTCCTAACCAATTATGCTCCATGTTATGATAATAAAATTATGTATAATTGTCAGGGCTTCGTTCTGATTTCTGAAAGTAGTCTTTGGTTTCTAATACAGCTTTCTTTCAAAATAATTCTGTCTTATATTTTGATATTTAACATTTACGAAGCATTTGCCTTTATGTTATTTCTTTTGATTTATAAGCTATACTCCAAGGTTTGTAGGGAGGGTAATATTCACATTTTTCTGATAAGATAGGTTCAGAGAGATCAAGTATGTGTCAGCACTTCAACATAGGTCACCATTCTATACTGCCCTAGAATTAGTGGCCAATTTAGGACAATGTAATTTTGAAAACAAAGTAGACCGTGCCCTGATTATGGTTTTCATATTTTTTATAATTGTAATTGTATAATCCTTCCTCTCTTTTGTCAACTGATTTATTATTTCCTTTTTTTGATGTTATATATGTTTGCATTTTATGTTTCTCTGTATATTCATCTCTTCCCCCCTTTACCTTCTTTTCCTCTTTTTTTTTTTTTTAAACATTAGGGCAAAAACAAGAGGAGCCCTATCTGATAAGTATATTCACTTACCATTTACTAAAATTCAAACCTAACTAATGTTAATTTCCATTAGTTTTATTTTGAAGCAAGATCTTTTGGTAAATAGCTTTTGTCAGCCAGTTTTGTTCTGCTACCCATTGTCTATAAGTAGAAGTGTCCTAATTTTTTGGAGAACACCCATTTGGTAAAAAAGAGGGAATTCAGAACTGCTCAAGAATGTTCATTGTAGACATAAGGCAGTTATTAATCAGTGCTTCTACACAGTCTGTATTTCAAATCCGATTCTTTTAGATCACTTGTTAGTACAGATACATGTATACAATCATGCCTTTTATAAAGGTACCATGGTTGTGGTCTTCCTGATCTGACAGTACAAGTATGTGTTGATCATGGGTAAACTATGAATATTTTTTCCTGAGTAAGTCTGGCATGATTGAAATAATTTTTCTTGAGATCTGAACAATCTAATTGGTGTTAATAGAGAAAGTTTCAGTTTTGCACTTATAATTTCCTATGCTAAGGCCTCTGCAAATGTAGAGATGTGTTTGAGGAGTCATTATTTTGTAATGGGCTCTTCTTTTTCTCAAAGAGGTGCTGTGTTTTAAAAATTGAGTTTCTTTCTAACCACGGGAAAATTTGCTTTGATCAGAAGGCATATTTCTATATCATATTTTTATGGTATAGGTAATAGATTGATTTTCTTATCAGGCTTATAAAACTTAGCCAGATAAGAAAAATCAGGGAATGTAGACCTGTATAGACCTGTATGTGGTCAGTCTCTATGAGGAAGTAGACTGTAGCAGCACATTCAAACTAAGAACAAGAATGACTCCTCCTAAAATGTTGGAAGAATCAGTGCCTTCAGCTGGATTCCCCGTCTATCCAATCTTAATTTCTTGTTGATTGTCTCCAAGGAGTAGGTATTTTTTCTGGGTTTGGCCTTCAAATGCACTCTTCTGATACTTTTATTTGGAAGGTAAAGTAGTAAGAAGTCTTTCAAAGTGCTCATTAAATTTTTTTTTTTTCGACTACTCTTTAAGTTTTTAAATCCTCCCTCTGCTCTTAACTCTCTACTCTCAACTTATTTGCATCCTTCAGCCAGAGCAAGTCTGAATTACTTTTGGGAACATTAAGATTTATTTGGGTTTGAACCCTGTTTGTCCTTTTATGTGGTCAAAGCAGCTATCTAAGTAGCTAGTTCCTGTTACAACTCAGTTGGTATTCTTTTGAGCAAAATCTGTAGAAATTCTGCTTTCAGCACTAATTTCCTTTTCTTCTCTGACTATATAGCAATACTTGGCAGACAGTGTGGTGTAGGGGAAATGAGACAATGTATATGGTTTTTAGAGATTCAGCAAATGACAGTAGTAACAGTTGTTATTGTGGAAGATGGTATTAAGAGCAGTGACTTTGGGGGGGGTGACAGGGTGGCTCAGTCGGTTAAGCATCTGCCTTCAGCTCAGGTCATGATCCCCAACTTCCAGACTTCTGGGATAGAGCCCTGCGTCAGGCTCCCTGCTCAGTGGGGAGTCTGCTTCTCCCTTTCCCCCTGCCCTTCCCCTGCTCCTCTCTCTCTCTCGCAAACTCTCTCAAATAAATAATATCTTTAAAAAAAAAAAAAGAGCAGTGACTTTGGGTTCAGATCCTGGCCCCAACACTAAATGGCCGTATACTTGAAGGCTAGTTATTTAATTTCTCAGTGCCTCAGTTCCTCATCTGTAAAGTGGCAATAATGATAATAATAGCAGAGTGAAGATTAGAGTACACATAAATGGAATGCAGCTGTGCCTGGTACATAGTGTTAGCTCTGATGATGACTCTGATGATGGCAGCCTCTTTCTCTCTAGAACCCTTACTCAGGATCATGGCATTTTTGTTACTAAAATTTCTTGTTTACGTTTCTCCTGACTGATCCTTCTACCTCCTGACATAGTCATATACAATCTACCTACGCCATCTGCCCAAATGGACTGAAAGGTCCATTTGCCTTGAGATGGGGTTTAGTTTTCTCTGTTGTTTTAACATTTAAAAAAATGTTTAATTCCAGTGTAGTTAACATACAGTGTTATATTCATTTCAGGTGCACAATATAGTGATTCAGCAACTCCATATATTACTCAGGGTTAATCAAGATAAGTGTACTCTTAATCCCTGTCACCTGTTTCACTCCCCCCCCCCCCCCCAGGAACCATCTGTGTTCTCTATAGTTAAGAGTCTTTTCTTGGTTTGTCTCTTTTTCTTTGTTCATTTGTTTTGTTTCTTAAATTCCACATATGAGTGAAATCATATGGTGTTTGTCTTTATCTTATTTCACTCAGCATTATACTCTCTTGATCCATCAGGTACAGTTTTTATCTTGCTAAATTTCCTGGAAAATCTTGATTTTCAACTGCAACACTTATTAGGTGCATATGTAATAATGTAATACTCCTTGTAACTTGTCTGGCAGTGGCTTTAAGTCTGCCTCTCAAACCATAATTATATTTCAAAGATATGTGGTTTAATCTTAGGGCCAGTATGTCTTCATTCTCTTTGCAAAAGAAGCAATGATTTGTACTTGTATGGAAAATAAAATGAAACTTAATTTGGGAAGTCTTTCCATAAATCTTTCATTATCAAGAATTTGCCATCTCTCTTAGGAAGCCAGTCTGTTAAAAGTGGGTTATAATTGTTATTAATCTCTCTCATTAACAAATGTCACGGAGGCATGATGCACAGTACAGATAACACTGACCATCTGGGCCCAGCAGGGCCACTGACTGACATGGCTAAATCATTTATCACTCCCGGAAATTGGAATATATAATGCAGGGGAAAATTTGATTTTCCTTATTGAAATGATTAAAAAATGTGATGTTTTGGTGCAATAAGATACTTTAACAAATATTCTATTAGGCATACTTATTAAAATAGATAAATCTTAAACTTACATTTTCAGAGTATCTCTGGTTTTAAATTACTGTTTAGATTTTGATAATGGAATTTCTGAAAACTTCAATCTTATATCTTTGTCTTAACAGAACAATGAAAATGAAACTGCCCTGCACTGTGCGGCTCAATATGGACACTCAGAAGTAGTTGCTGTTCTCCTAGAAGAGCTCACCGATCCTACCATCAGGAACAGTAAGCTAGAAACACCTTTGGATCTGGCAGCACTCTATGGGCGACTTAGGGTGGTCAAAATGATCATCAGTGCACACCCTAACTTAATGAGCTGCAACACTAGAAAGCACACGCCGCTCCACCTCGCTGCTCGCAATGGTCACAAAGCAGTCGTTCAGGTGCTGTTGGAAGCAGGAATGGATGTGAGCTGTCAAGTGAGTCTTCTTTTAGCTATGATTTAAAAGTGATGATGCTCTTGCTTTGCTTTGAGATACAGACATTAAAGCTTATATGTAGAAATCTTTTCATTTTTAATTAAATTGTTCACAAATATTTTTATAACTGTTAAATTCAAGATGCTGTGCCACACGCTGCTGGGAAATATGAAGAGATCTAAGGCATAATTTCTAACCTCATTCTAATTTTAGGGCTTTATGAATGAAAAATTATTATTAGGAGGCTGTTGTGTGTGGTATCATTAGTAATTGTTCCCTCCCAGTGTCCGGCACACAGCTTGACATACACTAGGAATCCAGTCAGAGTTGAATGAATGAAAGAATGAATCAAAATTCAATGTAATACTTTTGAGTATGTACTTAGTGTTTAATATGTTGACACATTTAGAATCCATTTTTTTTTTTTAAAGATCTAGATTCTTTTTTTTTTTTTTTTTAAAGATTTTATTTATTTATTTGAGACAGAGAGAATGAGAGACAGAGAGCATGAGAGGGAGGAGGGTCAGAGGGAGAAGCAGACTCCCCGCCGAGTAGGGAGCCCGATGCGGGACTCGATCCCGGGACTCCAGGATCATGACCTGAGCCGAAGGCAGTCGCTTAACCGACTGAGCCACCCAGGCGCCCTAGAATCCATTTTTAACAGCCCTCCTGTGGGATTAAGAGCTACTAAGTTCCAGTTAAGAGATGAGGAATCAGATTCAAAGAGTTAACAAAATTGCCTAAGGATGTATAGCTGATAAACCTAGAATATGAATTTATACTTACTGATTAAAATCCAGGCCTCTTTACATAATAGTGAACTGTCTATACATGATTAATGAAGGAAAAATCATTTTGTCTAAGGGCAGTCAGAAGGAATTTTATTGGAGAGGTGTGATTTGAGTTGAACTTTGAAGCATGGATGACATTTGGAAAGGTTTCTCCACAAGGAAAAGGGCAACCTACTTTTTTATTTTTAAGGGCAACCTACTTTTATTATCTGTTTCAAGTTAACTCCAATTCCAAGGTTAACTTTTTTTTAACCGTTTTTTCCTTTTATTACTGTTTTTTGTCTCCCAAGTCAGTGGCAACATTCTTATCTTCCAGAGACCCTTTTGGTTCCTGTCAGATTGTGTCCTTTTCCCTTAAGCTATTGCTGTGTAACAAACTATCCTGAAACTTAATGGCTTAACACAGTAATACTTATTTAGCTCATAATTCTGTGGTTGGTGATTTAGTCTGAGCCTCACTGGGTAGTTCTGTCTTGGCTAAGTTCTCTCATGTGTCTGGGGTCAATTAGAAATCAGTTGAGTGGCTCTGCTGTAGAGATTGGCTGGATTTTGCCTGGGATAATGGGTGAGGTTGCCATGTGTCTTTAATGATCCAGCAGGCCACCTTGGGCTTGTTCACATGACAGTGGTATGGTTCTATGTGCATGCATGTGTGCACACAAGAGACAGAAGGAAGGAGGGAGGGAAGAGGGTTATACAAAGTCTCTTGAGGTCTAGGCTGGGAACAAGCATCCTGTCTTTTCTGTAGTGTTTGATAAGCCAACATGTCACAAAGGCAGCCTAAATTCAAGGATTGGTAAAACAGATTTTACCTCTTAATTAGAAGAGGTTGTGAATTGTTAAAGGGGTGCAAATACCCAGAGGGAACAAATGCAGCCAGCTTTGCAACATTCCAAATGCTGTTAGTGCTCAAAACTGTGGGGTTACTTTTCCTAGGAATTGTTTAGAGGTTGGATTTTGTTTCTTCTTTGTTTTCCACCGAAATTTTAAAAATCTTAGGCCTTATAAAATAAAATAAAATAAAATAAAAATTTTAGGCCTTCTCATCCTACATTTCAGGCTGGTTCCCCGAAACAGACTTTTCGTTGGAGCTTTGCCTGTCTTATTTAGCTATTTAGGTATTTATAAAATCTTTTCTTAATTTTTTATTTATTCTACTTTTGCAGCCTTAAAAATAAACACAAGAATTTTTTCTAGTCCTCATGTTAAAAAAACCCCAATTTTCCCCTCAATTAAAATGAGATAGATACATATTTACTATTTTAAGTGACTCACAAAGTTACTATCTTAAAGTGTGTTTAATGATAAGCTAGATGTTTATTGTCTGAATGTTGAATTTCTCTAATCTAGATTTACTGCTTTCATAAAACTTCTGGAATATTTTTTTTAAAGATTTTATTTATTCATTTGAGAGAGGGAGAGAGAGCGTGCACAAGCCGGTGGGAGAGGGACAAGCAGACTTCCCACTGAGTAGGGAGCCCAAAGTGGGCTCAATCCCAGGACTCCAGGATCATGACCTGAACCAAAGGCAGACACTTAACCAACTGAGCCACCCAGGTGCCCCAGACACTTCTGGAATATTTCTAAACTTGATGGCACAGAGCACTTCATAACCAAGGACTTCACTATGACTGAGATCAATAACTCACTTCATGTCCATGGCCCAGATCTTTTTATATTTTTTACTAGATGACATGGCCAGAAGAGAAAGAGTCTGGCTTCAATTTTATGTATGTATATGGTACATCTTTTTTATATAAAATACTACTTACTATATTATTTATGTTTTTGGAGAATTAAAGATAAGTAAGATCTCTGCCCAGAATTTAGTGGAGGATACAAAAACTTGCAAGAATACCTCCTATATATGACATACTAAAATAAAGAGTAGGGCAAAATGCTATGGAGAGATCAGTGAATAAAATATAGATTGTAAGAGGGAGGAATTGAAGAGACATAGAGTAATATTTGAAGAGGAGCTTGATGGCTTTAGGACTTTGAATTTAGGTATAACTTAGCTTGCAAATATGCATTATTTGGCTAAAATAGTATTTTAAAATATTGAATTTGAATGCTTTAAGATGCGGTATATACCTTCCAAGGTCCCAACCTCTCTCTACCTCTTTCTACCATCTTCTGTCATTGCCAGATTCATTCCTTTAGGTTTTCTACTTTGCCCCAATAGCATTTGGGTTTGTTACTCATATATCAGATGAAAGGAGCAAAATATGTTTAGACCACTGTGAACCCTTAATCAGAAGCATCAGGGCTGGTACCTGAGCAGGGTGGGCAATGTTTTGTTATTTATACTCACTTTATGATTTCATCTTGAAGGTTTTCAAGAAGTAGAACTGACAACATATTCTAAAATATATCTCAATGAATTGAATCTTCTAGTATTTAGTTAGCCTTAGTTGATGTTTTGCTTTTGTTGTTATGCTTTATTTATAGAAAACATGCATTTTTTTTTGTTTGTTTCATTGCCTTTTTTGGGTCAGTGTTTAATTTTATTATGGAATTCAAATGAACTGTCACCAAGTTTGCCCATCACATTCACTGCAAAGTTGTTGGGTTTTTTTTTGTTTGTTTGTTTGTTTTGAGAGGGGGAGAGTGGGAGGGGAGGGGCAGAGGCAGGAGGAGAGAGAGAATCTCAAGCAGGTTCCAAGTGGAGCCTGATGTGGGGCTTGATCTCACTACCCTGAGATCAGGACCTGAGCCGAAATCAAGAGTCAGATACTTAACCAACTGAGCCACCCAGGTGCCCCTGCTGCAAATTTTTTTATTGTTATGTTAATCACCATACATTACATCATTAGTTTTTGATGTAGTGTTCCATGATTCATTGTTTGTGCATAACACCCAGTGCTCCATGCAGAACATGCCCTCTTTAATACCCATCACCAGGCTAACCCATCCTCCCACCCCCCTCCCCTCTAGAACCCTCAGTTTTTTTTCAGAGTCCATCGTCTCTCATGGTTCACCTCCCCCTCCGATTTCCCCCCCTTCATTCTTCCCCTCCTGCTATCTTCTTCTGTTTTTTTTTCCTTAACATATAATGTATTATTTGTTTCAGAGGTACAGATCTGTGATTCAACAGTCTTGCATACTTCACAGCGCTTACCAGAGCACATACCCTCCCCAGTGTCTATCACCCAGCCACCCCATCCCTCCCACCCCACCCCCCACTCCAGCAACCCTCAGTTTGTTTCCTGAGATTAAGAATTCCTCATATCAGTGAGGTCATATGATACATGTCTTTCTCTGATTGACTTATTTCGCTCAGCATAATACCCTCCAGTTCCATCCATGTCGTTGCAAATGGCAAGATCTCTGCCAATTTTTTTAATATTAAATTTAAAGTAGAAATTTGTTGATATTCTTACTGGGTAAGAGGGAAGAATCAGGCAGTAACCTTAAATTGTTTCAGTGGCTTTAATATTCATTAAATTGTTGTAGTTAACCAGTTGGAAATTAGCAGTATTAAAAATAATCCCATTTGGTAAATTACAGCAGTACACATTTAGACTTTAATTACATTCAAATCATTATAAATAGTTCTTTAAAATTTAGAGATGACTTTAGAAGATTGTCTTTTTTTCTTGTAATTGCAAATGTTTTAAAATGTGTAATTTATGTTTTTTCTGTATAAGTTTTGGTTTCTGCTTCATTTCTCTTTGAGCAGTTTTGAATTATAACACATATTTGAACTAATGAGAAAAACAATTTAATTACCACTTAGGTAAATTTCATATTATATTTATGTATAAACCCATTAGTCTTAAAGGATTTCTTAATAAAGAGAATCCATCATATTAAGATATTAAGAAAATGGGTTTTAATTGGCAAGATCCTCTTGAAATTAGCAATTATTTCTGTGGATTTCAAACCTGATTTGGGTAAGTAGGTAGTGATGGTGTCTTTTTATGCTAGTGCTTTAGCTGTGTTTCTTGTAAGTTTCTCTTATTAAAATTTAAAAAGTTAAAAGTACTAGCAAAACATTAAGCCAATTGGATTTTATTTGCATATTAAAGGAAATGAAAGTAAAATTATAGAAAACTAATAATGAAGAGTATAGGTTCCCATGCTAGGAGCTGTTAAGATGTAAAGCTGAGTAAGGTACCATTTTTGATCTCTAAGTGCTTCTAGTGGCAGGAGAAATATGTGCTTAAATGGATAGATTACATTTTAATAATCCATTCACTCCTTCTT